GCGCTCAGTGGCAAACACTTACCATTACTAAAAGCATGCAAAGTGGCACACATGACTTGATGAGAAATGAATTGACAGATGGTGTTAATGCAGACAAACTGAGCCATCATTATGGAGACACTCTTTAACAGCAGAGTGCATCTTATTTACGTGCATCTCTGAAGATGGCAAAATCTCAATAGTGTGTAACATGAAAACCCCACTAGTGTCAACACGGCTATATTCAAGGAGGCCCGTTAGTACTGAACGATACTTTTAAAATATTAATTACAATATTAACTGATTAGAAACCTGATTCTCGGTTGAAAGGCTTTTTTATACTTCTATAAGGACGTATTCCGACATGTATTGGACTATGAGGTGAGCCGCTGAAATAATGCACAACAATGGAAAGCGTACCGTCAGAATGCGCACGAAAGCCGCCGGTGGTAGTAGTAGTACTCGCAGTGCTTCGCAATGTCACGGGAGTAGTACTATGCCAAGGACTCGCAACAGCTAAATTAGACAAGGAAAGACCTCGTGAGAGAGTAAAAGAAAGCTTTAAAACGTGTTCAAACACACTCGCACTGACGCGCAAAAACACTACGCAGCAGCATGCAGCAAAAGTTGCAAATGACCCACCTTTATGAGCCGTCCTAGCCGAGGGCTGATGACAGCGCGTGTAGTAAGTCCGAGTAATAGTGTTGGTTACCGAATAAAGTATTAATTTGTTTGTTTTATCCATTGGCGCCGTGACGTTATTACTCGCTAGTACTGTAGGTAGTGCATTCCTTCCTCGAGCGTAATCCTGCCAGTGCGTAACGCAGTGCATGAGTGCCAGTCTGCTCTGTTCAAGTTGCTCAAACTCATGCCATTCAGTCCAAACAATTCGGAAAGGGATACGTTATTAAATTACTCAAAAGCTTGGTTTGAACGCTGTGTTTAAAACATTTGACAAAGTTTAACTCTGCATCCCCACCCCCTTCCTTCTTCTTGCTCTAGGTCCTTCCTTGATATTTTAGTGAGCTGATTTGTTCTCCGTTTCTCTTTTGCACACAACATTCGTGTCTAAAATACGGGTTGTCACTAATATTAGCGGTGGATTCGTTTGAATGATAACTAACTTACTTACCAAAACAGCAGAAATACTTGATATGAATTTACGGTGCAAATTGCAGATGGGCTCTGTCCTTTCGTCTGAAGTGGCGAGCAACGTCCATCCATGTCTTCTGTCTGTCGGGAATTTTACTTTATATCGGTCCTCCGTAAAACATCTTCGCCCCCCTCCCAACAGCAACTAAGACAGGGATTAAAAACTATATGAATCCCTTTTCCACTACAGTCACAAAATGGTGAATGAACCACTAACAGCTGGCCCGCCTGGCCAATCAGAGCGCACTGACAGATACAGTAACCTATGGATGTGACAGCACAAATTTAGAGGCGTTTCTCAGTGGTTTATTCCATTTGATTGGCAGGCGCTTTGGGCCAATCGCAATGAAGCTAGATACCAAGCCGGCGCGCACTCCAAAAGTTACAGTATCCAATGAGAGCGCTGGGAACCATAGGAACAGGGTGTGGGCGGGCACTAGGGAAGTGTTCAAGAAGCACTGGCCAATAACGCGATACGAGTTTTCGCTCCCTAAAAAAAGGTGCGTTTACCACAAACGACAGCGCAACACTTCATCCTAAAATTACTAGATTTTCACTTCCCCTGAACTGCAAGAACTGTTTGTAAACTAAAAGAAAAATTCGCACGTTTCAGTTTAATACTATTTGCTATACTAAAATTTAGTCATCTATTAAGTTCTGAGGATTAAAAAGAAAGGTAAAATCACTAAACGGATTCGGTTAATCACAATAAAGCCACCCTTGTGCGGTTCCCTGACTAACCATTTCACTTTCACACTTCTGTGCTTGTGAATACGGGATGGACTGTTGTCGCTCTCTCTCTCAATTTTTTCCACTCTGCCTCGCTTTTCTCTCAGCAACAGCCCCTCACCTCGTGTGCGAGAGCCAATCGTTGCGCCGCAATCCGCTGTCTCTAACGTATGTGCCGTTGCGCCCCGCCCCATCCATACAAGCCTTGCAGGATTTTGGAGGTGACGTCATCTTGCCGCTGTGTGATTGGCCAGAGGCGCCGCGTCGACGAGCCAATGATCAAACTCAGCGATGAAGTCATCAAGCATGTTGCCACCAGCTGGATGGAAGGGGCGTGGCCTGACGTACTCGCCTAACCCCGTGCTTGATGCGTAGGACAACATACTAGTGACTGATAAGCCATCGTTTTAAAACACGTCAGAAAAACAAGTAGTGTACTTTAAAATTTTGTTCAAATACAACTACTGTTTTGAAACATTTTTTTTTTTTCAAACGTAGCCCATCCGAGCACAGAAAACCAAATTCAGACATACTGACGCATTGAAGCGTACATCTACATTATCGAATCATTATCGTTCGTTGTGAATTTCCTTTGAGAAGCAAAGACGTCGTTACATAATCGCTGTTGTAGCCAGAATCAAGTACTCTCAAGCGCCATCCTCAAATGTTAAAGCAATGTACAGCGACCTCTGTCGGTTATATCTTGATAAACAAAACTGTAAAACTATAAACATACGTGCACGCGCCACTGTGTGGTGGCTTAGGGGGATTCAAAACACTAAGAATAAGGTAAACTTTTTTTGTGCACTTTTCATAGATCAAGACGAAAATGGAGAATTTAAAATAAAGCACTTTTTGTAGCAATCAAGTATCTTAAAGTGTCATACCCCCTTATTAGCACTTATTCTCCCCAGAGCCCTGCCCTTTGACCTGACCCCCTCCATGATGACGACCTCTTTCTTTTATAATATAGCATAATGAGTGATTTATAAGCAATTTTATGAGGCCTGGTCCTTTTTGCTCTGTAAACTCGTAAGTGTGATAGGGTTCTGACCACAACACAAGGGTTAAAGAGTTACATCTTTGTGTATATTGTCTCTCTCGGTTAGCTACTTTCACCTTCAGACATTTAATAAGAAAGCAGATGCTATAAAGTGAGAGAAAAAAAGGTTTACTGGTCTTTGGTAGACAAAAACTGACAGATATGTGCAGCAGCCCCTCATAACACAATCATAATAGAATTAGCAAAATGTCTTGCTTTACATGACATGTGAGTGAGTGACGTGTGGCCAAGTATGGTGACCCATACTTGGAATTAGTGCTCTGCATTTAACCCATCCAAA